GTCCTAGGAGAAACCATAGCAAATCTATCTTTAACATAAACTTTTAGCCCATAATGACCCTAAATTGCATCCACTAAAACCTCTTATTCTTCCATGATGCTGCCCTTGAAGTTGACCAGTGAGTCTTTTTGCATGGCCCTCAAAGAGCTCTTTAGCTGGTTCTTCCCTGCATGGCAGAGAACTGACAGACCCCTGGGGAGATGCTGGAGCACCCTGCATCTCTGTTCCATGAATCCTGTGCTCAGTAATTGCCAGGGCACTGAACTCCACAGCAGTATGTAATAACCAGATGCTTAAGGAAGGCATTACCAGAATTCTGTCATGGACACTTTTCCAACCATGATATCAGTGCCAAAATCAAATTAAGAAAATGATCAGTCCTAGTTAATCATGGAGAACTGAGACAGGAAAATTGCCCATTGCAATAACCCAGCACTTTCCAGACACACAGCTGAGGCTGGACTTCACAGCAAACATGCTAAGTGGCCCAGGGTCTCTTTCTTCTCTCAGCTCACTGCATACACAGTGAGGCATGGCTGTGGTGCTGGGCTATCTGTCTCGCTGCAGTGCCTTGCAGGCAAGCGTCTGTTGATCAAATGTGTTCTCTGCTCATGAGACAGAAGGAAACCCCTGAAAGGACCACAAGAATTCTCACACTAGATGAGCTTACTTCATCCAGCCAGTATTGAGCACCTGCTGTGTTCTAGGAAGCATTCTAGGCATGGGGGAGATGATGATGAACAGAATAAACACAGCCTCTGCCCTCAACACCATATCTAGAGGGGATCCTAGCAGGGAAAGAAAAGCAACTTAAGCCCTCTGGGAGAAAAGGAATAAGAGGGGGCAGGAAAAGGCCAGGTGGGGGAACATGCTGGCAGAAAGCCCAGGCTGGTGGTGAAGGGTTGGGGGCTCTGACAGCTGGGCCCATAGGGCCATGGGCCATCAGATGCCATCCCTTTCATCCATACAGTGTCCTCTCAGCTCCAATGCCCTCCCCTATATGGCACCTTTTAGTAGTGTTGGCCTCAGGAGCCCCAGCTAGGTAGAGGACAAGGATGCCCTGAGGCAACCTCTAAGCCAGCTGCATGATACCCCCTAGAATTACAGAAGAAGCTCTCTTAAGTGTTCCCAAATCTTTTTCAAGAATGCTGAAACAGGACTTCCGGTCAAGATGGAGGCATAGGTGGATGCACCGTACCTCCACGCACAACCAAGATAGGGACAACAACTTAGGAATAGAATAACATCCAGAAATGACAGAAATTTGATCTGAATGGAAGTCAGACAACCAAGAAGTTGAATTAGACCCGTGCATCCAGATGGGTAGGAGGGGCAGAGACGAGCAGCCAGGTGTGGGTCGTGGCTCGGAGAGCAGAGAGAGGTGGGACTGGGCCCGTAAGGCATCCAGGGGTGCATAAGGCATCTGGGTCACACAAGATTGTAGCGGGTGGACCATGAGTGTGCAGGCGGCAGCTGGCAGAGCCCGGCCCAGGGGTGGCAACAGGAAACTGGCAGATCCAGTGAGGCGGCGATTGTAAAGCAAGGCAGTGCGTGAAACCCAGGATCACAGCACTGGGAAATAAAGCCTTGGGACACTGATAGAGGAAACCTGTGGGAGTTGAGGAGCACGGAGAGACACCCAGCCTCACAGGGGAGGTTCTTGGAGGGTCCCACGGCGTGCACAAGCCCACCCACATGGGAATCAGCACCAGAGGGGTCCAGTTTGTGTGGGGGAAGCAGCAGAGGGGACTGCGGTCCCACAGAGAATGGAGCAAGCGCCATTGTTCCCTCTCACCCCTGCCCCCACAGACAACGTCACAACCCAGCAACTGGGGTGCCCTGCCCTGGTGAACACCTAAGGCTCCGCCCCTTACTGTAAAAGGCGTGACCAGACCCCCCCCCCAAAAAAAAGATAGAGATGGCTCACACAGAAGAACAAATCAAAGTCCCAGAACTCATCCTTTTGAGCTACCAAGAGATAGACAACCTATCAGATGCACAGTTCAAAACACTAGTGATCAGGATGCTCACAGAATTGGTTGATTTTGGTCACAAATTAGATGAACAAATGCAGGTTACCATAAAAGAAATGAAGGAAAATGCACAGGGAACCAATAGTGATAGGAAGGAAAGTGGGACTCAAAACAATAGAGTGGACCAGAAGGAAGAAAGAAACAACCAAACAGGAAAGAATGGAGAAATAAGAATTCAAAAAAATGAGGAGAAGCTTAGGAACCTCCAAGACATCTTTAAACATTCCAACATCCAAATTATAGGGGTACCAGAAGGAGAAAAGGAAAAGTCAGAAATTGAAAACTTATTTGAACAAATAATAAAGGAGAACTTCCCCATTCTGGCAAAGGAAATAGACTTCCAGGAAGTCCAGGAAGCTCAGAGAGTCCCAAATAGTTGGACCCAAGAAGGAACACACCAAGGCATATCATAATTACATTAGCCAAGGTAAAAATGAAGGAGAGAATCCTAGAAGCAGCAAGAGATAAGGGGACAGTCACCTACAAAGGAGTTCCCATCAGACTGTCAGCTGATTTCTCAAAAGAGATCTTACAGGCAAGAAGGGGCTGGAAAGAAGTATTCCAAGTCATGAAAGGCAAGGACCTATATCCCAGATTAATCTATCCAGCAAAGCTTTCATTGAGAATGGAAGGGCAGATCAAGTGCTTCTCAGATAAGGTCAACTTAAAGGAGTTCATCATCACCAAGCCCTTATTTTATGAAATGTTAAAGGGATTTATCTAAGAAAAGAAGATAAAGAAAAAACATGTGTAGTAAAATGACAGCAAACTCACAATTATTAACAACCACACCTAAAGCAAAACCAAAAGAAACTAAGCAAACAACTAGAATAGGAACAGAACCACAGAAATGGAGATCACATGGAGGGTTAGCAACAAGGGAGTGGAAGGAGGAGAGAATAGGAAAAGGTACAGAGAATAAGTAGCATAGATGGTAGAGAGAAAATAGACAGGGGGAGGACAAGAATAGTATGGGAAATGTAGAAGCTAAAGAACTTATGACACATGGACATGAACTAAAGGGGGGAATGTGGGTGGGAGAGGGTGTATAGTGGGGAGGGGAGTGAAGGGGGGAAATGGGACAACTGTAATAGCATAATCAATAAAATATATTTTTTAAAAAAAAGAATGCTGAAACAAGGCTGAGCTGGGCAAAGTAAACAGACAGGGTTACCCTGTGCCATGTCGCCCTGTACCCACCTGCTCCCTACCAGCCCTTGGGCTTGCCTTTTATCATCATGGACAGTATTTACAACATCTGCCTCTATCTTTTAATATCAGTGCTAAGAGTACAGAAAAACATACTATTTATACTAAAATGCTCATGGCTTAGCTTAAGCAAATGCATGTTACTAGATATGTGTATTTGAAGGAAGTTTCAGCAACTGACTCCCCCTGGTAGCTTCTAACCATGCAGACAAGGCAGGCAGAAAGGGGAAATCATGCATCTGTCCCTGCAGAGTCCAGTGAGTCTATGACAAAGCAAACTTTTGGGTGGCCATCACTGACCCACTTGGTACAGTTTCAGACTTCTGTTCACAGCCAACCTTTCACACCATATCCCTGTATCCACCTGCTACCTAACTTCCACTGGTCGTTAGAAAACTAAATTCCAATGAAGCCATGAAAACGTCCAAATTCCAAGGCACACACATTATTCTAAAAGCTCCTCTCTGTGTGTCTACACTGTCATTCTTTTTCACCCATGTGTCCTCGCACACACCTGCACGCATGGTGCAGCCTCCATTGAGTGCCTGTCTCCCACACCCAGAATATCCTTGATGTGTCAATGGCAACAGTCAAAGCTCTCCATGCAATGCACACCAGCATTGCCAAGGGAGCCAAGTTGAGTGCCCACTCACTCCCACTGCTGCACAGAGTTCAGGACAAATAGAAGTGTGGACATGATTGCTGGGACCCCCATGGACACTGTCTGTCTGCACCCTTGTCTGGAGGAGTGTCACTGCTGCAGCCTGACTCAGGCACCTGTGGAGAGCATGCTCCAAACCCACACAGCATGAGATGAAGAGACAAACTGCAGGGCCCAAGAGTCCTAAGGAAGACCATGCAGGGATCTCACTTGCTGGTGGGTAGTTAGGGTGGATGCAGGGGGTCATCTGTAGGAACTAGGAATGAGTTCTACACCTGGAGAGGGGTCTGGATGTCCTAATGGGATGACATTGAGACAAGCTTCACTCTTGTAAGGGGAGATTCTTCTGATTATTTCACTGGTTGTATATGTGGGGAACCATGTCCTGAATATTGTCACATCCCTGAAGGTATGAAAGCCTTCTGCCAGGTGAAGAAGTTTCACCATAATATTCACCAGTGAAGGAATCCAGGGCCTGGGAGACTTTGCCCTCACCAGGGGTCACCCTCAGCTCTGGGACAAGCATGTGATTCTCCCTGGAAAAATCAGAGATGCACATATGCACACATGTGCTGCAGGTTTCCTGTGTGGTACAGATTATATATGCAGAGGAAAAGTTTGCAATGAAAGCTGTGTCCAGAATCCCTAAGACTGAGGGAGCTGATCTCAGGAAGCCTGATGCAGAAATAATTAACCCCCAAGCAGTGAAATCCACTTTAAAAAACTGAGTGAGGAAAAACCAAATTATGTTGGCTGCTGGTTCCCCTGACACAACAAATGAGTTGTCAGGCTAGGATGGGTCCTGTGATGCCCAGTGGACGTGTTCTCAGTGCCCCCTGCAGAACACTATCCTGGGAACAGCACCCTCCAGTCTGCCCTACGTGCCTTCTGGGCTGTTCTGGGCACTTACACCAGGTTTGGAGAAAGGAAGACATGAGTTGGAAAAGCTCTCAATCTTAGCTTTGTTTCTTCCTTTAACCAGCTTTACCAGATTATGTTTCAAGTTTCCAAAAGGATTATACTTCCCTCCTCTCCCTGAGAACAAGGACACTTAGAACCATTAGCCCACTGGATTTCAATTTTGTGTGTCTTTCTAGAAAGAGAAGAAGAGTGGGCTGCTGAAACTTCTAGCAGGGGCATCCACCAAGAAGAAGTCTCGATCCCCAACGTCCATATCTCCCACCCATGACCACCAGGTGGCAGTAGACACCTCATTCCACGGTGCAGTGGAGCCAGAAGTGTCCTCACTGTCCACCCACGGACGGGCAGGGTCCTGCCCCATAGAGAGCGAGATTCAGGGGGCAATGCAGATGGAGCCACTGCACAGAAAGGCGGGCTCCTTAGATCTGAACTTCTCATCACCTTCCAGGCAAGCCCCTTTCTACATGGCCGTCACCTGCTCCAAGCCCAAGCCGGTGCCCAGAGAGAGGTAAGAGTGGAGGGTGAGTGTGCATCCTCTAAGACCTTGGTGTGAATTGGTCTGTGAAGTCTGGAACCACTTTTGGAGAGCAGGGACAGCAGGAATTTTCTGAGGATTAAATTGACTAGACATCTATCACTAGCCATATCTACTCAGGTCATCATGGATGGTAAGCCTTGAATAAAACAAGTTTGGGGATAAATGGGAGATTATTTTGTGTTCTGAATCTATCTGGGTCCTGAGTTTGGTATTTATAAGGGATTCATTAGGAAATTTTTCAGAACATTGGGATACTGAGCCAAGAGAGGTAGAGAGAGGACTGTGTTCTTTGAACCCTGGGAAAACCCTGGAGTGTGGCCAGTGGGCTGAGTCTCCATGGGCCTGTGCACCCCACCCAGGAAGCAGCTTTTCTTGAAGCTCACCCCACTCAAACATCTTAAAATTATAAAAAAATTACCTCCAAAACAGCTTCAAAGGTATATACTCTGTTGGGTTGAACCATATAATAACATTCACTTTTTTAAAAAAACCAAAACCAGTAATTTCATAGAGTTCAGCCTGGCATGGCTATGAATGTGGCCCGACACAAAATTATAAATTTACTTAAAACCTTCTTTTTGCTCATCAGTTTTCATTAACATTTGTGTATTTAATGTGTGGCCCACAACAACTCTTCTTCTTCAAGTGTGTCCCAGAGACACCAAAAGGTTGGGCACCCCCACAGAGTTTCATAAAAGTGAGTCTAATTGAGGTGACATGGCCCACTGAGGCCTTGGACTGTGGGACCATGGGTGCTGAATTTGACAAAGGGTCAGAGGCTGGAGTCTTGCTCAGTGGGTCAGCTTTAAATAAGGGTTGGAAGGTGCTGTGGAGAGAGGAGATGACATCAAATTAGGATAATGGGAAAGTACTTTTTAAGTTCCTTCTCATTGGATCACTGATTAAATGGTAAGAATAAGAAAACAATCCTGGCAATGCTGTCAGAATTCTTCACCCCACATGGCCACACCAACTGCCAGCCAGCTCTTCCATGTGTGTTTCAGCACCTGTAGCCTGAAAAGGCCACCACTTTCCTGAGCATCTGTTCACCTCTGGTGTCATGTCAGGGCTGGTCAAGGTTCTATATAGATCAGGATTAGTACACATTCCCTGTAAAGCCCCAGGTAGTAAATATTGCAGATGTAGCAGACCATAGTCTCCTTTGCAACTATTCACCTCACCATGATAGAATGAAGGCAGCCATAGACCATATGTAAATGATGGACATTGAAATTTAAATTGCATGTAATTTTCTTGTGTCATGAAATATTCTTCTTTTGATTTATCTTTCAACCATTTAAAAATGTAACAACATTCGTAGTTCTCAAACCACGCAAATCAGGTGCAGGCCACAATTTGGCAACCCCTGGTCTTGATGATGGGATTTAGAGCTGAGTCATTGGGGTAGCATTGAGATTCTGAGCCACTGAGAACAAATCTCTGCCCGAGGATCTGGAGGGACAACATGGGCCAGCAATTCTTGACTTCTGATAAACAAGGAAAGTGTAAGTCTCTCTTTACACCTGCTTTTAGACTAACAGGATTTACAAAATGCTCTGGGCAGGGGCAATATTCAGAACACTTAAGAGTTGGTATGGATTCTAGCCATGAACCTCCAGGACAGCCAATCTCTGAATGTAGTTTAATATCTGCCAACATCCCAGTTAGTCCTCCCAAGAACCCTATGAATTCAGTGACCCCATTCTATAGATGAGAAAACTGAGGCTAAGTAAAAAGGCTGAGCAATTTTCTCAAGATCACACAGCAAGTTAGCAGCAGAGCCAGGGATTGAACTGAAGCTTTCCAGCCCAAGAGTACAGACTCTGAACCACCCTGTTTTGTGTGGTGCATTGTCAGCAGCCACCTGTGTTCACCTGGCCCACAGAGGGATCTAGGTATGTTCAGTTGTAAATAGTATGAGTGTGTCTCAAGATATCAGCATCTGCTTCTGGATCCTCTATAGTGGATCACCACCCCACTGTCTGTCCAAGGTATACCTGTGGTTCTGACCCCCCAGCAGGACCCATTCCAAGTAAGTGCCTTCCCACAGTAAAATCCCAGGCCCTCTGGAACTGGATCCATATACCACACCACCACATGCACACATACCACATAAACAACACACATACTCCACACAAATGACAGACCACACAAGCACACACATTACAGAAGCACACACCCACCACAACAAAAACACAGTATGCAAACATCTCAACACAAAAAAACATATTGTACATAACACATAAACATTAAAACAAAAACACAATGCAAAAGCACCACATAAACACATTAACATAAACACACATTACAACAAACACACAAACACACACTGAATATACACCAAACACCACACACCACAAAACACACACCAAACACATAACACACAAACACAGAAACACAAATATACCACAAATACATACCACACAAACACTCAAGTAAACACACACACCACCCAAATACCACACATTACACAAACACACACTACAAACATATACCACACAAACACACACACCACAAAAAACACACACACAACACAAACACATATACCACACAAGTACTATTCAACACACACACAAGCACACATATATACCATGCATGCACACACCAAATACAGCACACACACCAAACACCACATACCACATCAATCACTACAACAAAGTCACCACAACACACAATCACATACAGCACAAACACAAAACACATCACAAATACACATTTCACAAATAACACACATTACACACATACTACAAACATACAAACACATAACACAAATACATATCACACAAACAGACATCATAGTACACATACCAAATACCACATAACTACATTTGAGACAAACACAATAATACACAAATACAGACCACAAATAAACAAAAATACCACATTGACACATACAACAAATACCACAACAAAGAAACACATATCTTATCTTACAAACCATACACTATAGAAACATACCACACAAACATTGTAACACTACTCAAACACACACATACCACATAAGCACACAAACACACATAAGCCCAACACCACAAATACACACTATACATACATACAAATACCACACACCACAAAAACTACAAACACATGAGCACAACACAAATGCCATACACAATGCAAATACCACAACACACACATCACACAAACACCACATACCACATAGGCAGACACAAACCACAAAGAACACATACCACACGAACACAAAAGCACCACACAGCAGCCAAGTAAACACACTACACACAACCACATACATCACAGAAACACACATGAAATACCACACAGCACACAAATACATTAAAACATACAAATAGGCATAATTACACAGCACATAAACATACACAGTACACAAACATATACCACAAATACATGTACCATTCACTATAAAAACATTAAACAGTAAACATAAAAACAGATACCACAATTACACAAAAATCACATTAACACACAAACCAAACATATTTTATACACACAACAGAAACACCATAATACATACCACAAACACATCACAAAAAACACACAAAAATACACAAACATGCACCTCAAATATACATTACACATATACACCACATAAACACATACCACACAAACAACACAACTCATATATTACACAAAAACAAACACACTAAAAATACAAGCTACAAAAACACCAAACCACACAACCATAATACACCACAAATGCACAGCACACAAATATGACACATCTCACAAACACACACACCATGGAAACACTACATAAACTCACAACACCCACACCACAAATACACATATACTACTCACTGCTGAAACACATACAACACACAAACACACATACTACACAAACACAACAGAAACACCACTACACAAATACCACACACCACACAAACATCATACCTATTCAAACACATACCACTAATACACAAACACATGACAAAACACAACACAGCACAAACACACATCACACCAAAATACCAAAAAGTGCACATATCACACAAAACTACACATACTACAGAACACCATGCACCACACAATAAGAAACAACACAAAAATACACTTAACACACAAATGCCGTGCAAGCACATACCATATAAACACACAAACAACAAATGAAATATACACCACTAAAACACGTAATCCTTACAAACACCACACAAACCACATAAACAACATTTAAAACACCCAAACACATACCATGCAAACACACAAAACACAAACATAAAATAAACACCACAAACACATACCACACAAATATTAGACAGACACACAAATGCTACAAATAAACTATACCACACAAACCACATATACTACACAAACAAAACACACATACCCTAAAAACACTAAAAACACAAACACCACTCAAACAATACACACCATATAATCACAAACACCACACTATCACTACACATCACACATACCACACAATCATGAAAACACCACACAAGCCACAAACACCATATGAACAACACACACATACCACACAAATACCACTCGAGCATACACAATGCATGAACAACACCCAACATATACAAACACACACATTACAAATACACAGCACACAGGACAAAAACATACAAACAAATACACCATATACCTACAAACACATACCACATGAACACTACACCACAACACACAAACATACTGCTCAAACACACCGTCAAAACTCCACATAAACAGTCAAATACAAACTCTAACCTCATATATGCAACACACAAAAAACACCACACAATATTCTGCACAAATTAACATGCAGTACAGAAATAACACAAACTACACGTATATTGCAAAAACACAAACACTACAAATACATGCACACCATGCAAACACCTGTGAAATACAACACACTGAACACACACACATAAAGAGACACCATAAAAACATCACAACACAAAAAATAACACACAAGCACCCACAGAATTAAATCATCACATAAATACATAAACACAAATCTCAAATACACAAAGCACAATCACCAAACACTACAAAAACACCACCCA